AGGGTACGGTACAGAAAACCCCCCACATCCAACTTAAATCTGATAATTGTCATTTCAACCAGTTTGCAATGAGATGCATGTGAAGTTTAAGGATTTGAGCATAGGCATGAATATCAGAGGGAGCTGGTTCACTACCTCAGGAGCGATGAGTTAACCGAGCAAACACAGTATACTTTCATGAGACGACTCGGCAGAAGTGTACCTTAAATCCCTCTTAGGGTATCTTTATGTACCCTACTGCTCTCGTACTTATGATGGTTTCTGAATACAAAACAAAACAATAATGATAACATAATAGAAAATAAAAATAGCGTGCTCTGGGAGTATAAATTCACCCTGTCTCAGCACACTCTGTACCACCATATTGTCTCTATAGCTTTGATATTATAGTATCCAACAGACAACAGCATTGTCATTCCTCTCAGCATGACTTTACAAGACGTGTTTGCTTTGATTGTATACATTAGTTTTCTGCACATAGGCATATACGTATTCCTGAATCCTCCCTTCTGTCGATTTTATCGCGATATCTTTGCCATCAACCTCGTTTTTATTTTTTCACTATGTGATTTTATCTCCTCTATATGCTGATCTCTAAACAGCTGCTTTAGTATACTTCACGAGGTAATGTTTATGTTCACTATATCTAACTGAAATACAAATATCATGAATGACGCACTTCCACGTAGTGCTTTTGTGCCTCTATTTTGAGTTTTGCGTACTGCTCACTTTTGTTATTCACTTCTCAGGTCCAACTGATTAGTTCTTTATTCATATATGATCACTCAAAACTTTGTAGTGAATACATACGATTCAAGGTTATGGGTATACCAGACGTCCTATGGTTCAAACAGTGGCTCCACAACTAATTTATTACTAAACTTGCTTCAGTCTACTGAACAATGATGTTTTTTAGCTATTTTATTCGTTGTCTGCAGGACGATAAAGTTCTATCTTTAAACTCATCTCTTGTTTACCCTAAATAATGATTCTTAATGTATTGCGTGCTATTGATCACAACAGTGAATTCATATTATCAAACTGATCATACATGTAAACTGGTTTGTTTTCATGTAACCTATATCGCTTGAAAAATACTGTGATCGTAATCATTATTATTACTATTATTATTGAATAGAGCGGAAGTTGGGAAGAATTAATTACAGGGATTCCGTCGATTAAGCGTTGTCACCTACCACAAGGAAGGCCTATAGATTACTTTGGAAGCGCTTCACTAAATTTTTAGGAACTGGTTGACCAGCGAGTGAACTAATTGACACTTATCAATAGATCAGAGTAACCACTGGACAGTGGAGGTAGACATGATGTCCACCATTAGATGACTTCGTATCATTCGTCGTCGACGGACATCTTGGTGCAGGTTGTTATAGTTCAGCAAATCTAAGCCATTTGGGGGCGTGGAAAGACCATCTGAAAGAAATATCCAGTTGATAAGTTTGCGTAAATGTAAGCTGAGGTAGGTATACCTTTTTTCTAAATGGTGCAATGGCTTTTCTGTTGGCTGCTTTGAGATTGAAGGAATGTTCATGATGACGTTCGTTTGTGATTGCGAGAAGAACTCCAACTTCCGAGGTGATGTCGATGAGGTAGTGAACTTTCGTTTTCACGCCAGTGACGTACAACAACCAACTTTTGCCGACTGCTACGGCTTCCTGTAATCAGTGCCGGCGAGGCACTTTCCTTGTTTCGTGTAGTTTTTGTGGGAAGGACACCTCATTCGGCGATTCCTGGTTACGCCATAGGTGTTAAGGAACCGACAACATTTAGAGTTTTCTACCAAGAAAGACCTGGCTGTTGGACGGCCACGTGAAGTGATGCGACGAGACGAAACACATTGCTATTTTGTACATCGTGACCTATGGCTTTGGGTTCATAGATGCTGTTTAAGAGAGTTGCATAACTCTGTCATTTGTGAATCGTGATCCTTAGGTTTTACGATGACGGAAAATACATTGGAGACAGGTCTACTAGAGATCTGTAGTATTTCATCGGCCGAGGCTGCCAGGTAATTGATAGCAACAGACTGAAGTATCAACAGTACAGCTTACCCCAAGTGCGATAATTTCGAAAGGAACTATTAACGGAAAAGACCACGCTTGAACGTTCGTTGGCCAATGACTTTTGGGATGTGTGGCAACTTGATCCGATGCACTCCTTTGCGAAGTTCTCAGTTGATTTCGTCGGTCAATCAGTCGGACATATGTAGGAGTAGCTGAGTTGTCCCATTGCCCCATGTTAAGTAGCAACTCATCTATGCGTTGATGACCTGTGAAGTCACTTTCTTCAGAGGAGCTGCTTTGATCAGTGCAAGGGAATCATTTACTTCAGGGTTAGACGTATGCGCTGTAACGTGTCTGTTTGGTTCCTGGGGTAGTGGTTGTATGGTAGCAAGTAAGTAGAGAATTCCTTGCTCTCTGAAGTCAGCTTCGGCACACAGATTCCTGAGAACGCTAGTAAGTTCTACGATTTAAACATCAGCATTTACTAAACTGAAGATGACAAAATGCAAAGAAACATGTAAAATAATGATGAATGGCATACACTACATCTGTACATCAACAACTTTCGTTACTTAATCTACAAGCAGTTTAGTGGAAAGTATCTTAATAAACAGCTTGTACTTGCTAAGAATTAATTTTTGAACAGTAGAAACTGATCGAAGTAGAAAACAAAATTCACTACAGCTCAGAAAAAATCTTTCTCAACATTGTCCTGAAATCTCGTGAAGTTTTTGTAGTTGACTGTAGAATGAATGATATACTAACGAGAATCTCTCCAAACACTACTTAAGTCATTTATCAAAAGTAGAGTTATTTAAAGAAAGGTGACAAAGAATTCATATCCACATGTTTAGGTACATTCCGATCAATGCGTAATTGACAGTGGAATGTGTTATCAGTAAGATGTTGTGCGACCACTTACTTAAGAGTGGGTGTGAAAAGGAAGTCTTTGCAAGAACTGATGCGGAATCGTGCTCCACCCCTGTCCACCCCAAGCGAAATACTAAGCCGCATTATGCTGGAGAGACTAAAAAATTTTCTCGATTCAAAATTACGACCGAAACAGGCTGGCTGGCTTCGTGAAGAACAAATCATGTACGGATCACTTTGCAACGCTACGCCATGCATCACCATAGAACAGAGCATAGAATTTCAGTCAACTGGGTAGTTATCTCAACTTCATCCACTTTGAAAAGGCTTTCATCAGCGTCGATCGAGAAGTAATTCGAAAACTGCTTCAAAACTACGGTTCTAGTACCGCAAACCCTTATCAACTTCATTCAACAGCAGCGATATGCTATATGATGCTACATGCCGAGAGATTCACAATGGAAAGCTCAGTGACGCCTTCGAAGTGAAGACAGGAAGGAGTAAGACAAGCTTGACACCTACTATCATCACCGATGATCTTCTTGATTGTGGTCGGTTTGACTGGACTGGATCATGCAACAGACAACTGTGAGGAGCTGTGATAAGATGGGCATATGCTGTTTGACTGATGAGAAGACCCTAGAAGATTTGGATTTCGCCAATGATGATGATTTATGTCGAATGTCTTGTTGCACAAACTCGAAGATGTACAGACGAAAAGTAACAAGTTGGCAGAAGAGGTGAGGTGAGGTGAGGTGAGGCAGCATAGATGGGAGTTCAGGTGAAGAACATAGAGAGGATAGAGGTGATAAAGATACCCAACCAACAAGAACAAGCACCATCAACAGGACAAATCTAAACGAAATTGTCTCTTTCACCTACCTACCTACCTACCTAGGCAGCATCGTCTCAACTACAGGCGGCGGCATAGATGAGGATGCCAAACCCCTCTATCGGGAAAGCAAGACAGGCCTTCCTTCATTAATCGGAAATCAGTGTGGAGATCTGCACTCCACTGCACTCCACTGTACTCAGCATAAAGAAGAGGATCCAGATTTTCAAAAGTAGTGTCAGTCAGGTCAGTGCTTCTATGTGATAGGTGAGAAACTTCGCGCGTTACAAAAAGCATTTCCAACAAACTACAGATATACATCAACAGCTGCCGCCTACGCTCACTCGATACTGAAGATCAGATCAGATGGTCAGAAAGAATAAGCAACAAGGAATTTACTCTGGCTGGCTGGCAACGAACAAACCAACAACCCATCTTCCAACAAATATGCAGTGGAAGAAAGTGGAGATGGATTGGATTGGACATACACGGTTTTGGGACATCATGCATCAAGCCGTTCCGTCGACTGGAAGCCAAAGGGGAAACGATTAGTTCAGCGTCCGAGGGTGACATGGAGATGGTGTGTAAGGAAGAAGTGAATGCTTCTGGGTAGTCGTGGAGCCAGGTTGAAAAGACTGGAGAGAAGAGAGTGAAATGGCGGCGTGCTACTGAAGCTCTGTGTGTTCCCCTAGGAACCCTAAGGACAAATAATAGTAAATAATAAACAATGTGAATGTGTGGTAAGTCTAAGAATTCCTTGTTTTCTGTATAACAAGTGGTAAAGATTCGTCCTACTTTTTATTTTGCAAAAGAGATCTTTTATATTTTATGTGTATTACGCAACCGTTTGACTCATCACAAATGGTTTATTTGACTACTGGATACTACTTATAAATAGTTTAATAGTGAAGGCCTAAAAAGTATGAAGTAAACTCTAAATCTCGATTCTTCTGACAAAACGAATATGATTATTGAAGTAACAGTTTCAAGTAACCAAGTTCTGCATATTTTGCTGTCCAAGAAAATGAAATTAATCAATTAATTAATTTCTTAAAGTGTAATAAATTCGGCACTAGAATCTAGGCATTCACATGTAGGACATCCCTCATTGTCAGCTTGGTAGCCATTCGTGCATAATTTTTCACAGTTGATTGGAGAACAGCATTGACAAGTTGGACAACCTGTAGTAGCATTTAGTTTGTATAAATCACCTGCACAGTTTCCAGTGCAAGAAGTTTTAGGGCAGCCAGTAGAGGATGGATCATCTATGTTAATAATCAATGGTATTGATTCCAGTATAGTTGTAGTGTCTTGTGTTTCGGTGGGTGGGACTGTAGCGTTTTCAGTAAATGATACTGCTTGAATAAGACTTGTTTTTCGTTTTGCATATTCAGCAGGTGTTTTGACTGCTGTTCAGTTCTATCGTGATTCTTTTCATGAGGTGGACGATTTGGAGATTCTTCTATGTTGTCATGATATCTACGATACGATCCATGCTCTGGTCTCTCCAAGTTAGGATGATGATGTGAGTAGTGTTCTGATGGAAATGAATGGTAACTTGGAATAGAATGATGATGAGGGCGATGGTGGGATGGTTGTGTATTTCCATCTACTGGTTCATGTTGCCATTTAGAATTTCCTGACCAGGTTTCACATTCCACTGGACTATGCTGTCTATCTCTTTCACATTGTTGCTTGTGACCAATGCCACCTAAAAAATAAACAAAAATCAACCAGAAAATGCCTTTTGAGAAAAAATAACACTAGGTTTTTTAGAACAGATGAATATTACAGTGGAACGGAACCGACTGCATGTATCGAATCGACAAAGGATTATGTGTATTTTGGTTATATTTAGAAATGTTTTGGTCCATTTTTAACTCGCAGACATTTAAAACCAACATATTATTAGTGAATTCGTTGCGTGGTGTGATCTACAGTACTATGACAGATGCTAAGACAGATGAATAACATCAAAGCAAATGGTATTGATTTGATTTACTTGGGAGAAGAACAAAATTAGGAAAGTATCAAGCTAAATAGGAAGGAATTTGACACGACAAAGAATAATCGAATTAAGCAAAGAGACATATAATGTAGTGTAGTGGGCGCTGTCGATGGGAATGGATATAAGTAGTATGTGTTGAGGCATCGATGCAAACAGCTCAGCGGTAAGGTCATGAACTATATCCCTGGGTAGTACCGGTTCGAATCTCAGGTGGGACATCAGTCCCGTAGAAGTTGCAGATACGCCTTGCGTTTCTTGAAGTAGAATGTTTACCCGTTGCTGGTAATTGCCTATGATTTCTGCCGCACTCTCGACACATACTACTTATATCCACTTTGATTTGCATCTCCCACTACAGTAGTAGTATGAATATGATAAAGATTATTTGCATCTGGGCCACCAGGGTTGAAATTAATTCATGTTATCAAGTCCCTTCAGCCATTCATTCCTATCATAATGACTACATTGTAATGTCAAACAGCCTAAACTTATTTACCTTGCTAAGATAAAAAATGAGGAACTTTTAGAACTAATGACATGTCACACTTTAGCTATTTACCAAATTAGCTTTAATTGTGTTTCAGCTGGTGTTGCTGGCTCAGATAGACAAAGGATAATCATGCTCACATTATTTTGATGAGGCTGTAATCCTTCATCGACTGACTTTCCTTATCCACCTTTAACATTGTTCAATTTGTGATATCAATAAGTGAGAGGAATATTTCAGTGGCTTTCAAAGTTGAAAAACCTTAGTCCCAACATATGAACCAGCAAAGTAATTAGTATAGATATTGTGTCCTGTTGGGAACCGTTTAAACTCTAGACTAGTAATCTCTTGTGAGTTATAACTAAGGCTTTATGACCTACATGTAGAAGAGGATGAGAAAATGGTTAGTTCCGATGTAACAAGTCCTTATACTAAAATACCAATCAATATAGTCCTGGAGGCAATCAGAAATCAAATAAATACTGACTCAGAACTTACCGAACTAAGCTATAGGTTGATGGGATCATATTAGGCGTACATTTGTATCTGACTTCCACAATCTTCAAGTTTTAGGATGAAATATATAGACAAACAGAAGAAGTAGCAGTGGGATTGCCAATATCCTTAATCGTAGCGGATATGTTTATGAATAGTTGGGAAAAAATGAAGTTACAAACGTTTAATCCTGCACGTAGGATAGGGTGACGATATGTGGATGACACACTTACTTTTTTCAAATCGGAACATATTGACAAATTACTCAAACATATAAACTCAGTAGTGGGTGCATTCCAATTTACTTACGAGGTAGGAAATTAACAAAAGGGGTTACCTATGTTGAACTACAAGATAAAACGAAGAACAGACTGTGATTTGGATACTACGGTCTACGGAAAGGCGACACATCCCATCCAATGTCAGTTAAGGCAGGCTTGGTCAAATATCTAAGTGATAGAGCTAGTAAAGTGACTAGTCACTGCAAGGACCTAAACAAGGAATTGAAGCACATAGAAGAAGTGCTACTAGTTAATAATTATCTTTCACAGTTTATCAAGAAATTCATAGGAAAACATAAGAGACGAAATGATAAGGGTAACATGAGTACGAAAAATAACGACAACATGAGTAGAAAGGAGTTCACAGCCTCCATTGTGTTACCCTATAAGGAAGGTACATCAGAAACTTTACATAAAATCCTCAACAAACCTGGAATTAGAGTGGAATTTAAACCCACAAACTCACTCAGAGATAAGCTTTGTTGGCTAGCTTAGTGATACGATAGAACCAGCTAAACAGAATTATCTAATCTATCGAATTTCATGTAATGACTATGAGGTGAAGTACACAGGTCAAACTAGCTCGGCTGGTCGGGGTCAGTTAGAATAGCTGAACAGGAATTTAGTCATGTAAAGAATGACAGACCTGAATAAGATCAATAATCTAGAAAAACACTCTGCTATTGCAATGCACGCACTAACACACAACCACAAAATAGGGTGAGATAAGTCGAATATAACTAAGTGGTGAGAGACAGATTGATTACTGAATCTTTGTTCATCAAATCAGCACCCAACACATGTAACAGAAGTGATACAACACCTTTGCCAGAGATGTGAGAAATTTTACTACCACTAAAAACAAATAATTTGGAGTAACATGGCTATGAATGTCAGATTTCGAAAGTGGAGTGTGATTACATCGATATGTTTATGAGCATTGATAATTTATGCTCGAAACGTCATCACCAAGTAAATAATACTATATCACTGTGTGTTACAATTTTGTTTATCTTGCATCTTCAGTGGTCTTCTCCTACAGCCATGCAGTAAATGAGACAGTGTGGGATGCTGAACAGTGTTATTGCACTCTGATAGGTTATTGAAATTCTTCATAGTGTCTCAGATAAACTATAGTAGATATCTTAATATCTACAGAAAAATGGTCTCTAGACTTGTCGATTTTAAACCAGCTTTATTGCGATCATAATATGGTAGTACTATTTCTAGGTTTCTGTTAAACTAACTATCCATTGAGAACAACATGATTTTATTGGAGTTTGTTACATAACCTCACTATGATTACTAAATGAAACCGTGTATTTGTGTGTACGATTAGTCTTCATTAGACTGATAAATCAGTTTCTTCGTCTGGTCGACAGAATAAATCATATAAAAGTACTTGTGAAACAAGTGAAAGTCACTCATCTTCACGCGATGCATGCGCAGTCATAGCGGTGAAAATAAATTTTCAAGTTGGTCCACATACATCAATTAAATATTAAAATGGGTGTTTATTCAAGATATGTAGCAGTAAAGATATCATAGTACAATTCATTTGTAATGATATTTAGCACACTTTTTTCGATTCAATGCCTTTGTCCATGAATACTTTGTAGAGGGATCTATGTGTTATTGTGAGTTGTAAGGTTAATGATACAGCAAACTCTAGGATATTATATGAAAAAAAACTATCAATTATCGTAGTCTTCCCATAAAACCTATCAATGCTTAGATGCGGATACCTGTCGGATTTGATATCCAATTATATTCGGTAGTATGTAGAATGAATCCAAGATCTAGATGTCGGAATTCATTTGTAAGAAGTCAAAGTGTTTTTAATGAATTGGTCAAGATAGTGGGAAGTAAGTTAAATTACACAAGATAGCTTGCTAGTCACATGTGTGAAAAATGACTTGACCATCTAGATATCTTCTTAATATTTTACCGTAGAATGAGATCTTATTTTGATTTCAGTACTGAACTCTGATTTCGGAATGGCTACTTGAGAATTTCAATTAATAAACATCCATACCTCACCATCATATCATTTACAACTCGATAATTATATATCTTACTCTAAACTAACAATCGATGAAGCGTATTAACTAAAATAAAGTTCATAGGTGTGTTCAAAACAAGATGATGTTTCTAACGTATTCTTGATAAAAAGGATTTATGAAGGTCACTTCATCTTCCATCTCTTCTGTTGAAGATTGAAGTTTTGAGACATAAAGCTGTAAGTAATTTGAACGAAGTGTTTTGATGCTATATACAACACTTCTGGGAAGGTCATGCAATTTTTTTCATTTGAAACTTACATGAAGTAGTACTTTCTCTTTTTCTTCTACTGCTGAAATCAACGAGATATGTGAACCGTGAAAATGTCTTCAATACATAAGACTGAATGTATGAAACTAGATCGTACACAGTGATCATTAAAGCCTTCTATTGTTCACTGAAAAAAATGGAAGTTGTGGACGTTGCTTCGGATAGGTGAATATATACAAGCATTCTCAGTTTCTGCTAAAACAAGTATAGTTAGTTGCTTGAATGAAATCAAATATCTGTCGGGTGTAGTATCTGTCAGTTAACCTAGAGACACTAACTCTACTGTTAACTTTCAAACCCTACGCGATATCAATATAGTCCATTTTTTAATAGACCAGTAAAAACTAATAAGAACTGATAAAAAAGAATAGGTAAAACCCGGAAATCAATAAATTGGAGAAGTAAAGGGAGACTTAAGCTAGATGGTCTCAACTTCCTTACGTAATACATTAGACGAAAATTTCTTTTTCAAGTCAACAAAATATGAGATGATCAGGGAAAGATCAGTAGAAAAATATTATCCAAGGAATATAATATTCAATTTGTTTTTCTTATTAGTATCATCAAGAATTATGGGATTGAAATTAACATTCTGATATTTAGATGAACTTATCTTCAGACCATTCAAATAAAACCACAGGTCAAATTTTAGTTAAGAAAACTATTCATTTAAGAACAATCTAATTGAGAAATAACTGCCAAAAAAATTCATGTTCTCAGCATACTTAACGAATTTAGTTATAGCAATAATAAAATAAAAGAAACACAAGATAAATGGAGAAAGTATACCTTCTTGAAGCAAATAAGCTTCGGTAAGTAAGGAAGTGAAGTACTTCTCTCTGTAAACAGTAGACTGTTTCCTTTAAGAAAAACAAGTATGTGGCCAATATGTGATTGAGAGTTCAGTGCATACTACGACAAGCTTCTTCATCATGAGTGGTTTAGCGATACAGTCAAATTCAGAAATGCAATCTAGGAAAGCACAATGAATACACTTAACACTTTCGTCTAGACTGGAAATAGTATTATAGTGCAAGACAGTGACAGAATTCATAGTACTTCTATTGAGTTTATAGAATAATTGCTATGGATCTCTAACAGCTTTCAATAAAGGTTCAAGTCCAAGTAGAAGTAGTTTCTTCGTTATCTACAAAATTGTAGATATAGGTCTAAACTTCACATTCGATTTAAAGAATAATATCAGCTAATATGCAGCAGATCACTGTTGAATATACTTCATAGATTGAGAATTAGAGAATCTCTCAAAACTTAATTATTTGAAGGTATCCTGACCAACACTGAACTGGATGATATGAAAAGTGAATAGACAGAAACGTGAACTAATCCCTAGATCTAAATAAGTAAACTTCTAAGGAATTTGACAATATTTGACGTTAAGTATTCTACTGAAATTTTAACACTTAATGAACTTACGCTCACGATGATGTCTAAGATGATATAACTTTCTTTCAAGATCTCGCTTATGAAATCTACTCAAGTCCTTCGCTTTGCTAGCCTCATAATGTTCTCTCTCCTTCTCATCGGGATTCGGAACAGAAAAATAAGGAGATGAAGGTGATGCCTTTTGATTTTCAGCATATTTTGACTGACCAGGTTTCTTCATATCTAAACCCATCTTTTGTAAATCTTTAAGTACCTTGATCTCTATCTCCTCCTTTATCTTTTCCATTGATTCCTCACTCATGGTGGGACTTTTAGGCGTTTTGTTTTTTCACATTTAGATGAAGTATACTTTTCACTACCAGAAACAAATCTCACTGGTGAAATGACATTTTTATTAGCTTTTCTGGAATTCTCTTCATGTTCACTATTATCATCAGGATGACGTTCTTCACTTCCTTCATAATGGTGATGGTAGGCCTTATTTTCATTTTTATGATCATTATCTGACTGACTTTGAGGATAAGATTTACTGGCTGGTTTCTTGTATTGTTGGCTTTCACCAACTATTGAATCCTTTCCTTTACGGCCTTCACTATGTTGTTCACCTTTCGATGGCTTTTGAGATTTCTCCTGATGTTTTTCTAGTTGTTGTTTTTGTTTATGTGTGTCATGATGAGGTATATGTTCCTTGTTTTGTTTAAAACTGTCTGCTGGTTTACTGGTGGGTCGTCGCTTAGTAGACGGCGGTGCTGAAGGTGATGCTGGCGGCTGTGGCTGTTGTTTTGCTTGATCAGCTTGACCTTCTAAGCTTGGTTTAGATGTTTCAATGGGTTCATTTTCAGCGTTTTCATCCTCACTCTGGGGAAGGTAAGAAAGAAAAACGGTCTATTGTGAGATGATACAAACCTTTTGTATTAATGAAACTTGTATACTGAAAAGGCTCTTTTTGTAGTTACGTTTAGAAGACACTGTACTTGTCCTTGTAGCAAAAGCCTGAATACATTTCGGGCGTCAAGATAGTTAGTTATTCATCAATTTCTTGTGACTGAAACAAAAATACATGAAGTTTCAATATACTTATAGCTTCGTTAAAATTTACTTCTGAGGGGGTTGTAGAGATTTGGAAATATTTCAAGTTGTTATTCATCTTAGACTGATATCAGTTGGAGGAACAAAGGAAGCCTGAGAGCACTGGACAGCTGTTTCGTCCTAGTATGGGACTCAGCAGTGCACACCCACGACCCCGCCAGGGATCGAACCCACAACCTTCAAGTTCCGCGGCCAGCGCGTTACCATTGAGCCACTGGATCAGAATCCAATGCTTTATATTTTCAACTTCTTTAGCTGACGATGTAGCGCAATCAACAACTTGGAAAGTGACTTCTGTTTGTGATCCATGTTGTGATAAGATCTCGAATCAGTGAACTGTAGTTTCTCTTGAAGAGTTATGATTCATCTCTATTTCTACCTTTTGTTTCACGTAACCTGAGAGCTAATCAAATCTGTTGGATTGGAAATTGGTTAGAATCGTTATGATAAACAATTTCATTTCTCTGAAAGAGTATATCTTTTGTTGAGTTTAGTCTTTTATTTAGACCAGAAATGTATTCATAAGTATTTATTATCAAATGTGAGGTAGAAACAATTGATTGGAATGATATCATTTTACAGCTTCCACATGGATTGAGACTATGGGTGAAGTGGCCTTTATGAATAAGATAAATCCTGCCTAGAGTACTCTTTCAATAAGTAAGTATGCACGAACCAGTTGTTCTTGTATTACATAACATGCCATAATGATTTTGGACAGTTTACTATCAGCACTTAGTTCAAAGGTTTATTTAGTTCCTAATTTATCATTTCTTGAACTGTGGAGAAGTATGCTTAAGCTTCAGGGAAGTAAGCATAACTTCTGACTTTTTATTGCTCTAATGTCTATGGAGTTAGTAATTTGTGATGATCATCACAATACACTTGGTAAATTAATCAAATCTCAGTATATCATTAATTCGAAAATCCCTCGAACTTCATAACATTTGCACTTATCGTATGCGTAACTCTCTACTAAAATCGATCTGGGATTAAGTTAATGAGCGAGAAACAAAAAAAATTAATCTGATATGCACTGAACCATATGGATTATTGCGTCAGTTACTTGTTGACTGTATTTTACTAAGTTATTCTTGAAAAACTTACAGATTTTAATTAAAAATTAATAATAAATTATAAAAATAATGGCTAGAAATAATAACTGAATGTAAAAGGAATATTGATTTGAGATTAACTGATGTCAGCAACAAGATAGGCCTATTCTGAGTGATTCTAATAGCTAGACAGTGTTCAAGTATGTGAAATGTGTAACTATTTTTCACCGTTTACTCTGTTTTGGTGGGTTAATTAGTTTGTTAATCCAAGACTCAAAGTTAGTTGATTGAATTAGCCGATCAAATTTCACATTGTAAGCTAATAAATCAATCTTCTCTTCGTATATCGCTAGCTCATATATAAGCTGAAGTAACAACTCAACTTATTGGTGTTCTTATCAAGTTTTGTAACAGAAAGAGCATAAGGATGTCGTAGAAGAAGACTCGTAGAGTTGGGGGAATAGTTTAAACAGTTTAAGTGCTTTGGTAAACTGACTATTGTCGGTCGTTTTATCTCCGGCTAAAATTCTCCAGATTACCTAATCTTCCTTCATATACAGTGAAAATAATAAGGAGGAAAAGATATTGATGTCAGTAACAAATTGTCATAAGATATGACTTTCACTTGTCCGACTAAAGTAATGTCAGTCTTCCATGGTTTTACAGTTATCAACGGCACTATATCCTATAGTTTTGACTGCTGTTTGCATGACCTAGTCCTGAGATACCTTAGGAAATGTGGCAAACTCAACTATTTTCTCATTTTGTGAGGTTTCAACTTAATTTGCTTTGAATCAGATGGAAATATCCCTTGGAGAGTTTGCAAAATTCGCTGACGGCAGTTACTCTTCAATGTTATAAAGTACGCTTTAGTATGCTATATTTCCAAAGATACGCATTTTGATCCAATAAAAGATTCCTGTAGATGTTTGATGCGGTCATGAGATGGATGATATATATGAAACCGTGATATCTGGCTCGTATTAGTGAGCTCCTACCATGTAATGTTTTCATTACGCTTTAGAGTTGTTGACATTATTTGTGGTTAACCTGGACACTGTCCTGAGCTTTAGAGGGTAAATATCATGGCCACTTTAGTGTGTTTCATACATGACGATTGTTTACTTGATAACAAATCTTATTTTGACGAAGAATAGAGTATATTTGGAACGATTTATAGAGTTGCTATTGTCACTCCTATTCCTTGAGTCATCCTCTGAGGGTAACTAAACAGACTAAAAGCCTATTAAGCATCGAACAGAACAATGTAATCTTTTCTTGGTGACTGGTTCTGATGTGAGTAGTTCTAGGCCACTTACACCGATTAAGAGTGCTCACTTCCCAGAGCAAGGCAACCTAAAAAGTGGATAGATGTTTTGCTCGTCTGGAGTGCGGGTTCATCAGTGGTGTATTGGGCTTGATTCAACTCAGAAAACGGAATTGTTCAAACCACTGGGATTCTGAATACCTACTCGAGCTGACTGGTCATGTCCAGAATCAAACTGCATGTTTACTATTTGGTGTGAGTGGCCTAGAACTACTGGTATTGCTACGTGCAGCCTCGCACTGGCACTCGACACCAACTGTGGTGTCGAGCTGACCACATTATGCCTTAGAAAATCATGGTGAGATTTCTCTCCACGGACTGCGTTATTTTGCAAACATCTAATTTGATTACAAATAGTTTAGGCCTAAAAACCGTAACAGTAAGAACTCCTGACAAATACTGGTTGAAAAACAGAACAGAAATCTTACGAAATTAGTTTTTTTAAAAGATGCCTAGATCTGACTTAACAAATTTTCATTTTACATTTAAGAGGCATGTGGAGGAGTGAAGATATTCTGTCCGTACTGCTGCGTAAAGTTTCGCCAAGAGTGATTGAAAAATATTTCACTAGATTCGAAAGCAAATCTGTACTCTAATATTTTGACCGAATATTTTATTGGAGCGTTTTATGAAGCTCCCAGTAATTATTTTCAAGTGTGATCCAGGAATAGAATCATGATACATTAGGAAAGATACTGTCTCATGAATAAATAAGCTTTTAGTTCTATGCGACGTCCAGATAAGCTGCATTTTTTAGAGGTCGTTACACTGTCTAAAATATCCCTGAGCATGGTACAGTAACCGAGAGACTGAAAGATGTGAAGGGGTTTGGTGACTAGTATAGATTTCGAGCAGATGGGAAATGTCAATTAAAAAAATAAAACTGTGGCCTTAAGTCTATTAGCAAAAATTCATTAAATGTTTACTGTTCTTCGTCCTATCCATACCTAGCCATTCTTTATTTTATGGTCTAAACCATAATCATGATATCTTAGTCACATTTTTGAAAAAAAATGAGCTTCTAAGGTCACTTTAGTTGACTTATTATTGTCATAATTTGTACCTTGGGTTCCTAGTGGAACATAGGGCTTCAGTAGCACGTCTCCACTCCACTCTGTTCTCTGAAATCTTCTAAACCTCGCGCCACCATCACCCATAAGCTCTCATTCCTTCCTCACACAATCGCCTCCATCTCACTCTCGCCTCGGATGCCCAACTCGCCGTTTCCCATCTGGATTCCACCCGATTGCCTGAACTGGCACGTTATGTCCTCGAATGGTCTTCTCAGTACATGCTCAATCCATCTCCACTCCCTTCTACTGCATATTTGTTAGGTGATAGGTTCTTGGTTGGTTCGTTGCCCGGCCAGAGTTCCTTCTTGCTTTAGTTGACTTGGCAACAGTAAGTGCGTTTACAGGATTCAGAAAATCTTCTCCCAAACAAATTACCTGCATAAGTAGTTGCTAAAATCATCTTTAAAATCACTTAGACTAAATTTGAAGCTAATTTACAACACACTTTTAAGGTTGACCATTTTACCCTCCCTGATGTCATTGTAGATAAAGATTAGGTTGCAATCAGAGAGAAGGCGAAATTTATTGATAGTGTTCATAGATTTCTGTGAATGTCTAGAGAGGAAATATCTCTGTATCTCTGTTAGACCACGTTTACTCACTATACACGAGAGATTTCAATAAACGGCACTAATTAAGATCCAGATAAACTTAGGTTTGGTAGTATAGTGTATCGTGTTTGGAAAAATATACTAGTTCCCTCGTATTATCAATACTTTCCCTACCGGATTTTAAATTATTGAATGTTTCAAAAAAATTTAAGAAATTATTTTAAGCTATAGAGCAAGACTACTTTATACAGAATAAGTAGCTCATATGTATATAAAAATAAAAACCCCATAAACCGCAAACTACATTACACTATAGTGTTTACTTGTGACATGCTTCGAAATGGATATCTCGAAGTTTTAATGAAGAGCCTTGACCTATAAGATCATTCAGTCGGAAGTGGAGCAGATACCAAATGAAGATCTCGGTGGATAGTCATGCTATATCGTGAAATGACAGAAGTAAGAAATTGGGTAAATGGTTAATATATTCATCACAAGATCTGAAGGTTCCGAGTTCAACTTTTGGTGCAATCACGGGTGTGTAATGCTGAGGAGTCTCACGGTAAGACAAAACACTTGTCTAGTGCTCCTAGGTTTCCAGTTTCAGTCTTTGAATCATACTACCTTAAAGCAAATAAAATCACCATGAACTTAAAAATGCATGTTTTTTGACGTTTTTTCAGTGGTATTCATTGAATGTCTTTACACTCTTTCACGGATACATTTTTTGCAGGAAATCTGACTTTCTAGCTAAAGCAGGAGAGAGGGGAGTCAGAATTGTTTTCTGTGTTTCAGTTGATATCAACCTTCCTACTGTTCATATTTAGCAACAGAATTTTAGCAGCCACAATATTCTTTGCCTTTTAATTGAGACTGTTTTTGGAATATTTTTTATCTTTTATGAACAGCCAAGCACTGAGCTAATTCTTCACTAGAGTGTTTAGCTGCTAAGATATATTTTTGGATAAAATTGAGTCGACTCAAATTGTCGTTACTCACAGTAGTACAGAAAGATACGGGATGCAAGAGTAAACAGGTATTAAGGTGAACAAAGATAAAATTAATAAATAAAATGACCTGGTAGAAGAAGATTTGATAATATGCAAAACTAAATACAAATTAGAAGGGTTGGATGGAATGATGACATTCGATGCTCTTGGAAGAAGCAAGGACTGTCGTGTCTTTCTATATGCAATGCGTAGATGTGTGGATTTGACAGGAAGGTTCCTAATGCAATGCTGCCATCATAATCAAACTACCATAAGGTTTCTTGACGTGGTAGAGTCAAAAACTACTTTTGTCTAATGGAAATAAGGCAAGTTCTCCTTGTAGATCAACTTCGCTATCTACTGCCATAGATAAGTTTAGTGTCCACTCCTGAAGTATACGCTTCGATCCCAATTGCTCAAATTCAAAGTGATGGAAACCAGTCTTTTTTGACGTATGTAAACCGTTTACGAATGTTTGAATAGTGCTACTTATTGCATTTAAGTAGTAAACGTCAGTGAAATATAGAACATATATTTCCTTCTACTTGGGACTCATCTATAGCATGTAGCTTTTTACCCTCTGAGATTCAGGCTTCACTGCTAACCACTATGAAATAACTTCAAGACAAAATTGATCGGAGGTTTAAGCTTCCTGACTAACAAGAACATAAGACAAAACAGGCTGATAAGTTCAGTCCAGTAAGTTAGAAAGAAATCATGCAACGCAGCTCACCACACCAATGGATAGCATTTTTTGCCTAAGAGGACAGCTATCGGTTTTACACAAACAGATGTCCAATACTTAACAATTTGAGACTTTTGATAACCATAGGGTAATAATATCATGTGTCTGACGCTTGACATTAAAAACTCAATTTTCTACGTTCACTGAATCCTTATTCAGGCGATGCTCTCATAGCTTACAGGGTAAAAGAAAGCTGCATTAAATAAAGAGAATAAAAGTGGTGAAAAAAGAGTTTTCACTGAAACAAATCAGCAACTTACCTCTTGTTTTTCCGTAATCGGTGAGTGTTCTGTTTTAATTGCAGCCATCACTGAAACAGGTGTTGTTGGATGTATTGGATGTTTTACTTCCTTGTCTGTAGGTGGTTTTTTTTCAGGTTGACTGATACTTTCATCGGTTGGCTTTTTATGAACACTGTCATCGTTATCATCATTATTCCTGTCGGCATCTTCGTGTTGATGATGTTGGTGTTGTTGATATTGATGTGGACGGTGATGGCCTTCACTATGCGATTTATCATCTCGTACAACTGAACCACCCTCCACTTTCTCTTTAAAAACCTTTACACCAGGCTTTTCACTTTTTGGTTGTTGTTGTTGTTGTTCAGTAGAGCCAACTTTATCCTTTAGTTGCTTTGAAGCCACAGAGGATAGTTCTTTGTAATGTCGACTAGCTGAACCAGGTGACCTGATTGAAGTAGGCGTTTCTTTGTCTACTGGTTTATGTTCTGCACTACTAAAGGGTTGGTGGTGTTTTTCTCGTGGTTGCTTAGGACCCGTTTTGGAGGCATGGTTTCCTTTCCTCATTTCTTTGTACTGGAGTTTTTCTTGACTAACTATTGGCTCTTCATTATACTGCACACTTTTAGTGTACTGATGATGAGGGTGATGGTGATCTCGTGAACGGCTGTAATGTCTTCTCACTGGTATTCTTTCCTCCTTTTGATCACCTCTATAGCGTCCATTTCGATGATGATGGTGACGGTAATTACGATTATCTTCAGAATGGTACTGATCTGGACGAAAATCTTCCCTATTTTGATATTCTTCGTTTTTTCTATATGCGTTTCTCGGAAACGACTCATTGTGGTCACGCCTTGCATATAAATGTTCTCTTCTACTGTCCAGTGATAGTACTGTTACCATAATGGAAATTATTATCAATAAAGGGGATAAATTCATGTTACGTATTTTGGACTTGTTGCTTTAGTTGATTTTACTGATGTTTAAAAATAGTTCAAAGAAATTTGGCGAGTGAATCAATGGAAACTTTTTCTGTCAATTTTAAACAAAATGAGATAATTGAATAGCAAGTCTTCTTATCTATTAAAACATTTTTAGGTCACATTATACTAATCAATTGATAAATGCACTTTTCTCAAGTGCTGATGTACATAAACCAATTCTTTTTCAGAAAGAAATGTTCGTGTTTGTTTACTGATATTTATGATTCGATTACTGTATAGACATTCGGCTGGTTGTATGAATATGTCTGTCGTTTTAGCGCTTTCATAGGACTATAGGCTAGTTAAGGAGAGATATAAAGATTGCTAACTTCTAAAAATTCTACTTGGAATAGATATATGAAGATGTAAATATACGAATCATTGCAGTCTATGTAATCTATTATTGATTAAATTGCTGTTTTAACGCTGATACCGTCTAAGAAATGGTCTAACATTACTGTTTCACCATAGTCTTACACTCTTCATTATGTACTTACTATTATCTACATATACCATTTGAGCTGTGACCATCAGCTTCCACAGTGGTTGCGTAATCATTCAATCTCTGAGCTGAAAGTCAATGATCTACTTTTTTCAACATTTATAGGTTCACAAAATTAGCAACACGCTGATCGAATGTTACTGGTTGGGATGGGTTATAAATTCAGGTTTAGTCAAACCCATGGTTTGTAGTTTCATATCAAAATGTTTGATAACCCATCTTTAGGCTGGTCAGTAATACACATTCAAGCGGCCATTCAGCCGAGGTTTGAAGATCTGTGGTCAGTGGACAAACTCAACCTAGACCCAGCTGAAATCTGGTATAGCCTTTTTTCACAATTCATTCATTATTTTAAGGTAGCTGACAGCAGTTGGAGAATCACTGAAAACTTGAAAGCACTGGATGACTGTCTTGGTTTACTGTGGGAATCCTCTGCAGTAAATACACACAAACCCACCGTGAACGTGGTGACCACTGGGTACGAGTTCAGTGGTCTAAAATTTCATACTTCAGTTAATTCACGAGATAGCACTACTATCTACCGGAGTCTTCAGTTAGCATTGCCTTCACTTTCTACAGGTTAACTGTTTCTCATTAAAACTTTCACATATTTATCTTAAAGCATGCCACTAATGAGTATAATACAGTAATTAGTTTCGGTTTTATGAAACATATGCTGACTAAAGACCTCCTTGAATGGTTGCATGAATTGACAGAATTTGTTGGAAGATGGGTTGTTGGTTTGTTCGTTGCCAGCCAGCCAGAGTAAATTCCTTGTTGCTTATTCTTTCTGACCATCTGATCTGATCTTCAGTATCGAGTGAGCGTAGGCGGCAGCTGTTGATGTATATCTGTAGTTTGTTGGAAATGCTTTTTGTAACGCGCGAAGTTTCTCACCTATCACATAGAAGCACTGACCTGACTGACACTACTTTTGAAAATCTGGATCCTCTTCTTTATGCTGAGTGCAGTGCAGTGGAGTGCAGATCTCCACACTGATTTCCGATTAATGAAGGAAGGCCTGTCTTGCTTTCCCGATAGAGGGGTTTGGCATCCTCATCTATGCCGCCGCCTGTAGTTGAGACGATGCTGCCTAGGTAGGTAGGTAGGTAGGTGAAAGAGACAATTTCGTTTAGATTTGTCCCGTTGATGGTGCTTGTTCTTGTTGGTTGGGTATCTTTATCACCTCTATCCTCTCTATGTTCTTCACCTGAACTCCCATCTATGCTGCCTCACCTCACCTCACCTCACCTCTTCTGCCAACTTGTTACTTTTCGTCTGTACATCTTCGAGTTTGTGCAACAAGACATTCGACATAAATCATCATCATTGGCGAAATCCAAATCTTCTAGGGTCTTCTCATCAGTCAAACAGCACATGCCCATCTTATCACAGCTCCTCACAGTTGTCTGTTGCATGATCCAGTCCAGTCAAACCGACCACAATCAAGAAGATCATCGGTGATGATAGTAGGTGTCAAGCTTGTCTTACTCCTTTCTGTCTTCACTTCGAAGGCGTCATTGAGCTTTCCATTGTGAATCTCTCGGCATGTAGCATCATATAGCATATCGCTGCTGTTGAATGAAGTTGATAAGGGTTTGCGGTACTAGAACCGTAGTTTTGAAGCAGTTTTCGAATTACTTCTCGATCGACGCTGATGAAAGCCTTTTCAAAGTGGATGAAGTTGACTGGAATTCTATTCCCTGTTTTATGATGATGCATGGCGTAGCGTTGCAAAGTGATCCGTACATGATTTGTTCTTCCTGAAGCCAGCCAGCCAGCCAGCCAGCCAGCCAGCCAGCCAGCCAGCCAGCCAGCCAGCCAGCCAGCCAGCCAGCCAGCCAGCCAGCCAGCCTGTTTCGGTCGTAATTTTGAATCGAGAAAATTTTTTAGTCTCTCCAGCATAATGCGGCTTAGTATTTTGCTTGGGGTGGAGCACGATTCCGCATCAGTTCTTACAAAGACTTAGGTCACCCTTCTTTGGGGGTTTAACAAGGTAGCTGATCTCCCAATCAGTAGGTACGTTTCCTTTTTTCCTCTCAAGCCTTCTGAGATAGTGATATCAGCATATTCGCTGATGCCTTTTATCTGTTTCCCGTGCTTCTGGCGGGATTCTGTCTGTTCCTGCTGCTTTCCTGGCTTTTGATCCAGTATTACAACGGGAATTCCAAGTATATCGAGAAATAGTTATACGAAATTCCAGTTTTACAAGATGTGGCTGTCGTCCGTCAGTAGCCTAATGGGTAACTCTCTGGCGTTTGGAGCGGTGCCTGCGAGGTTCGAGTCCCACTGGGGACAAGACCACTCACTGGAGTGCAGGCACATTAGGCCGATGAGTCCTAAATAGTAGGGAACGCGCATCCTGGATTTCTCTGCTCGCCACAACGAAGTAAATTACCATAACGAATGTTCAGGCGACATCGTGGCATCTGAATAGAAGCCCATACTTACAATAGAGGTCGAGCAGTTTTACCCAGTAAAACAATGGAGAATTACAAGTATATCAACAAATAGTCATAGGATTCATGTACCGTTAGAAAATTTCATGAATATTAAATGTGAGCATTCTCATTTGCATACTTTTATTCTGAAGAAAATCTTTTTATTCTTTGATTTGTGAGCTGTTTAAAAATACGAAAATTCGAATGTTTTCAGTTAGGAAGAAAGAAATTCGCAGAGTAGAACTAAAATGCGCAAATGTTATTCTGCAAATATCTCTTTCAACCAACTAGCAAGGAAGCGTCGTCGAAACTACAACCGAAGGCAGCGGCTCAGATGAGGATGTCAAAACCAGGATCGGAAAAGGAAGACAGGCGTTCACTAATCTGAAACCAGTGTGGAGATCTGCAATCAGCAAAAAAGCGTGAACAACATCCGGATTTTCAACACTAATTCAGTCAAGTCACTGCCGCTATGTGATGGCTGAGAGACTTGGCACGTCACAAAAAGCATCTCCGACAAACTACAGATATCCACCAACAAGTGCCTACGCTTGCTCGATACTGAAGATCAGATGGCCAGAAAGAATAAGCAAGAAGGAACTCTGGCCGGGCAACGAACCAACCAAGAACCTATCACCTAACAAATATGCAGTAGAAGGGAGTGGAGATGGATTGAGCATGTACTGAGAAGACCATTCGAGGACATAACGTGCCAGTTCAGGCAATCGGGTGGAATCCAGATGGGAAACGGCGAGTTGGGCATCCGAGGCGAGAGTGAGATGGAGGCGATTGTGTGAGGAAGGAATGAGAGCTCATGGGCGATGGTGGCGCGAGGTTTAGAAGATTTCAGAGAACAGAGTGGAGTGGAGACGTGCTATTGAAGCCCTATGTTCCACTAGGAACCCAAGGGAACAAAAATATTAATAATACCAGGGAGAATGTATCTCCACAAAGTAACTCAAATTTTTTCACTAACGGAATAAAGCTCAAAACTCACGGTATCAAAATTTCATTAAACTTTTCAGAGGTAAACAGTTGTGAAAGGTTATGATGTGAAATTTATTCTCAGGGCAAGTGGATTCAATTCCTGTATTAGGAAAATGTAGGTTATTGGGCTTTCTTCTGTTCCATCCCAGGCGTTGAGATGCCAATAATGCTTTCCATCTCAATGAACGTTTTAATTATCATTTTCTTCGGTTTTAAGCGAAACTGTAATCTCTCCTTAAAAAGAATGATTGCTACTGATCATAAATTAAAGTTTTGTCGGGTGAGATAAAGCCACATCTTTAGTAGGGTAGCACGTTTTAAACAATAATAACGCTCATTAGTTGTTAAATTTCTACATTTTTCAAAGCTGCCCACACTTCAAAATACTTCGCACGCAGACTTTAACTACTTGTAAGTAGCAAAGCAAAATATCATGTAAATGTTCTGGGATATTCTGTCTTATGGTCGATACATTCAAACTGACGATTGCTTCAAATGTATGTACAAATGAATAAGAGCCATAAATTATTAAGAAATAGATGTATACAGTGTGCTCCTTACTTCATCAGTTATTGGAAAGCGACTAAACAAGACCCAGTAGCTGAAAAAAAAACACCAAATGTATTGAGTGGTCAGGGGAGAGCAACCAATTTCATGTTGTCTAGTCCTGAGTGCAGATTGAATTATATCAGTCATATTTACAATGTGGCCACCAAGCTAGGAGGCTCAATATCGCTGTCCGAATAGCTCAGTGGTTAAGTTGTTGTTGACTACTGCACTAGGTGACGGGGGTTCGAACCTCAGGCGGTACATCAGTCCCGTCGATAAGCCTTGTTGACGGGTGCCAACAAGCACAAACCTAGGTCCGTTGCTTCCTACCGATTACCTCCGACCAACCAACAAAACAACAAATATTTACAATAAAGCAGATCAGTGTTTATTTTAAAGCAGAAAATAGACGTAAATCACACCAAAAAGGG